GAGAGATCCGATTTTTTCAAAAGACTTTGCGTTACTCCTTTCTAACTTGATGTTTGTGCTCACGTTTCGGAACGGAATGTCCAAATGGGCTCCCAGCGCAACACAAATAATGCGCCACGACAAGTACTTCTCACCGTTTAGTGTAAGAGCATCTGTTTATCATGGACCAAAGACTTGTTATTCATTATACCTGTACGTGTTTATTTCCTTGTTCTCTATAAAGTACCTGTATGTTTCGGCCACGCGAATAAACAATTAACTCGCTATGTTCCAAAAAGTCATCGCTCGTGCAAAGAAATATCGTCTCGGACCGAAATAAAGACATGAAATACAATTTCACTCGAAGTCGCTTTCAGTCTTCACCTTAACACACTTGTAATCTGATATTTTTGATTTAATCTCTAGAATCTTTTTTTGTGCCACAAGGAAGTAGTTGACAAAATTTTATTTTTCTCGCCATATGTTGCCAAGGCTCACAGCAAGACAATTTTCAAGGATTTGTATGGAACTTTGATTCATCACTGTTGTAAAGATCTCGGTTAAGTCGTATAATTTAACAAACAGAATAGTAAGTTTACATACCACATGAAAAGTTGTGCTCATCTGAAGCCTCTTGACTATGAGAGCCTTGATTCAGCATTTTCCCAATGTTCGTGTATGCATGTTGGTTTTTGGTTTTACAGTTCACCTCAACATAGCAAAATTAATGAAGGTGCTAATGATTGCAATCCAATGGTTATGAGATGAAAGATCCTGGTCACTCCATATTTTCACAGAAGAGTATAAAGGACTTGATTCTTTCAAAGAAAAGAACGCCTTCCTTTTTCAGATAAGAAAAGGATTTCGTGCTTCACACAACGTTAGCCACTTGTCTTTAAAACCAAACCGTAACATATTGGGGCATAAAATTACTTTATGGGACATCTCTGCAGACACTTCATGTTGTCATCCCAGAGCTGAGCCCGCGTTCTTTTTGGTTAGCACTTACAGCAGGCACCCTTTCAAAGATTTGTCGGTCAGTGGTAGTTCCCAGGCTGAAAGAAGATTTTATTCATTTCCAATAACAACACTGAACATGTAAACAAAGCCACAACCAGGCCACGGCAATTGGTATAAATGGGCATTATGCACCAAATTACAAAGCGTTGTGGATTATCCATTCTTCCGTATACAGCACAAAGAAATGGTGTCAAAATGTAACTTCTTCTCTTTGCCAGTCAACATTCCCGTCGCCAGAGCCCGTGATTCTCTTGGTCAGCACCCAAATCGCCATCTTGGTCGATCGTGATGCAGAGTAAAAAAACTCGCGGGCTCTTGGGCAAGACTGTCATTCAATTCGAAGTTAACAGAGTTCTTTACTAAGATTTGGCCACTTTAGAGCTCTTATATTAGTCTCAGGAGTCCATTACAAAACGCACTTGGCATGCTCAATTTTTTCGATAAGACACGCCTGAAGAGCATCACGGTATATGTATTTAAAAAACTGTAATGCAAGGACCACTTGTACAAACAGCTGCGGAGTGAAGCTGGATCTTGGTTTAGATCAGGATCAGCAGTGTAAAATAAATCAGAAAACCAATTTAAAGGCTGACCGGACGGCTAAAAAGGGTAAATTTAATGCCCAATATTTCGGTTAGACAGGGCTAACCTTCTTCAGGGGCTACAATGAAGCTACACTTCTTCAGGGGTTACACTTAGCTTCAGTGTAGCCCCTGAGGAAGGTTAGTCCTGTCTAACCGAAATACTGGGCATTAAATTTACCCTTTTATACCCGCCCGGTCAGCCTTTCAATTGGTTTTGTTCTATATGCATTTAACGCTAGCTATTGAGTGCGTCTCACAGAGGGAACAGGGTACACATGCGCTTCGCAACATACTAATCAAACTAACAGTAATTCTAATATTAAATAACGAACAATGTTAAAGTAAAGATGGTGGACACATAGAATGTTTCCCCTTCTGACATTGTCAAGCCAATAACATAAGGAAAGCGATAATTTTTCGCTCCCTTTGCACTGGTTTCCATATGTTTTCGCGCGCACGTTTTCCCGCGCGCAAAACCCGTTATAAAATTTCCCGCCGTTACAGGTTTTCCCGCGTGTATACGGGCAAACGGTTACATTCCTTCTTCAAGTTATATATAATTTGTTTGCTGCGCGGTTTGAGACCGTGATCATCAGTTAAGATATCAAAGGTTATCGATTCTTGGAGGAACCTAACTATTAAAATTTTAATTAAAATTTCACTATTAAGTCTACTCCCTGAGCTTTCTTCAACTATTCCCAAAGAAAATTATACAGCCTCATTTGCATTATCAACTTGCTTTCGGTTTGCCATTACGGTCCCTTGACGCGACATCAAGCTATGTCCTCGGGCGATATGTGTTGAAGATGAGTGCTGTAGACTAGCCTGCCAGGAAGGACGCTTGAAGAGCCTGCGAGCTCCTTGTCTGAAGTTGTGGTGCATAATTAAGAATAACCACGGTGAAATGGCACTGTTGGCGTGACAGCACCAGTAAAACAACAACAGGATCAGCGGAGGAAGGGAGAAGTACGTTTCTTTTTGAAAATACGACAAGAAATGCATAAGGTGCGCGGGAATCCAACACACAGCAAATACCACGACTACCACGATTAACATACGCACCACTTTGCGTTTTGACCTCTCGGCAACGCGCCTGTTGGAAATGGTTTGTTGGCCAGGGATCTTTCGATGCCAGAGATTTTTGCCGATCAGGCTATATGCTAAACCAATTCCTGTAAGAGGTAGCGAGTAAAGCGAGACAAAGACAATGATGTAGTAAATCTGGGAGGCGGTGACGTTGTCAAGAGGTGACCAGCTAATAATGCAGTATGAGGCAAAGCTATCTTGTATGACCCTGAACTGAAATAAATACGGAGACATGAAGATGCAGGAGAGAATCCAAATTCCCAGCGACGCGCATCTAGTGCTTCGTAGCAGAAGCGGGCGGCGTTTGAACGGGTGCAAGACAGCGTAGTAGCGATCCAGTGAAATCAACAACAAGGCGAAAATCGACGCGGCGATAGACAGCGCGTACGAGAAATGCGTCAGCTTGCATGTGACGTTACCAAGGTGACCAGATAACCAACGGTATTGAAGGAAAACATACAGGATCGAATAAGGCATCGCAAACAGCGTTACCAGCAAGTTGGCAACACACATGTTCACAAGAAGCATGTTTGTCAGCGAGCGCATCGAGGGTAGCTTGAGAACCAGGCAGATGACGACAATGTTGCCTAGCAACGCCGCTAGGAAGACGATACCGTAGGCGACAGTGATCGTTACTTTAGTTGTAGTATCGATTTTAATCCCTGACAAGGCGGTGAGGTTTTCTACGCGGGAAAGCGTAACGTTTACTTGGCTCATGGCTCTTATGTTGACTTGAGGTTATAACCAATCTAAAGAGGCAAAAATAAGTAAATAAAAAAAGAAAATTATAGTTCGGCTCGGTATCCATGTTTACTTTTACACTGTAAAAGTTTCAGTCCAGTTCCTGAACCATCCCTTTTCGGGTTGGAAGCGCAATTTGTGAAAAGTCCTTGGTCTTACAAGTGTAGCAGCTCTCGTAAGCTGCCACTGTTTTATTATTGTAGCAGCTCTTATATATCCTTTTCCGGGCTTAGGGCATTGTTTCTGTTGTTTTTTTACTGTTCTCTCAAAGGGTATCGAGCCACTCATGTGAGACCTTACGAGAACTGCTACATGACCCAACCATCGTCGTGGGCTTTAAGGGTGGGTGTAACGATTTTTTATCTATTCATCTTCAGTTCCTTAACGATGGTATATTTCTCCAAAAGCCATTAAGTTTTTATGGACCTACTCAAGAACTAGGAAACATTAAAAATACAGTGACAATGCAGTGGCGGACCCAGACCTTGAGCTAAGAGGGGGGCGGTTTGTTTTGCTTGCTCTGCCGGCTTTTCTTCCTTCTGCGATATTTTTTTTAGCCAAATTAAGGGGTTCTCGGGCCCCCCGAGCACTTCCCCTAGATCTGCCACTGCAATTAATGCACGGGTGGATTTGAAGAAAGCCATAACAAGACTTTCCCTCACTATACTAATTTAATCTAAAACAATGTGAGAATATGCAGGAGCATCCAACGGATCCTTTCAGTAAAAAATCTTTTCAGAAGACCTCTAATCCCCTCCAATTTTCTTAAGAAAATTTTCACCTGGAACTTTCATGATATCAGAAAACTATTAATGCCGTTTTTTCGGAATGATAGAGATGTCGTTTTGTATACCAGAAAAAGCCAGCTATGATTTTCGGAAAGGCAATAAGACCAAAGGTCTTTGGATAATGGACAAAAAAGTCCTTTTAAATTCAAGGAGACTATAAATTCCCCTAGAATGACCGAACCGATAAAAATTTTATAGCGCAGCCTAAAATTAACCTACAGAGCTTTAAAAGCACTCCTAAAGCATACCCTAAAACAGCCTTTTAAAGCATTTGGAGAAAACCGTCGGTAGGTGCCCCTTAATATTGTGTAAACAAAACATATATGGTGCGATTTGTGTCTTTTTGCAGGTTGAAATGGCCTGTCAATGATTTTGTTGTTATTGAAGCTTGTTCCTATTTTCAGTATAACAATACACGGCAAATGTTTAACAGACTTGACAATTAGATCCTACAGTCGTTTGATTATTAATGTTCCAACGACTTACACTTTGTGTCATATTTTAATACTTAGCATTTCTCAATTATCTCCCTGCATCTCTAAAGAAGTTATTTCTCTCATAAAATCTTTTTAAATTTATAATTGATGGCATGTAGGTTTACCTTGAAATCCAATAAGTCCGCCAAATATAATACACCGAATGGTTGCCCACGCAAATAGAAATAATTTATTGTTCCCACTAAACACTGTTCAATCTCGATATAAAGTTTTTCGGTTGGAGGTGGATAAATATTGCTTTCGTAAAGACAGCTACAGAATTGGTATCTGAACGTACGGCATTCCCACCTAGGCACCAAAATGAAAGAGCTTTTTCAATTAACTCTATTTTTTTTTTTCCTTTTTTCTTCGACATAGACTTTTCGGTTTTAGAGATTTTGCCGGTGATTGCAGCATATAAAACTGGTTGATGTCCTTATAAATTTTTTACGTGTTCCGGCATCATGGAGAAATACAGTGTACTTACCATAGAGTTTGTCATTTTCAATAGTGTCATGTGTTTAACGATCGATGGGTAAAGTTCCGCACGGAACGGAGTAAGCCACTAATACTCGACAATTTTCTAGAAAGCGTATTTTTATGCCGAATAGGTTAGTTTTGTGTCGAATGTCGTTTCGGAGAAACGAATGCTTTCTGAGGCAATTTTATTTCAGAGTTCTGGGCAATCTGGTGGAGTGGAAAAATACATGAAAATATTAAGTGAAATCTACATGAAAGACATTACTGTGGAATTCCTAAAACGATCAGCTAAGACAGGAGACCGAGTTTATCTGCAGCTCTTTTTTTTAAGATCATCAAATAATTACTTCACCGAGAAGAAGTTCTTTTTGTAAGGGTTCAAGATCCAAACGAGCCACATTTTTGCAATCTGCACTGAATTCAAGGGACTGAGATTCGCAGAGGATCGAGTGAAAATATGACATTAAGGTCGATTCTCTTTGCCAAGTTAATTTGGCAAAATACACGAGAAACTAGAAAACAAATATATTATATAACATTTGTGTCTATGTTTCGCATTGGAGAGAAAGATACCCACCAAAAGCTGCAAGGGCGGTTGTACAGTTTTAAAAGATATCAAATATTTAAGCATACCTTCAAGTACAGAGCGATGTTCTAAATCTAGAGCAGGAGAAAATGTGACTTTGAACAAATCCTGCTTATGCTTGATCTACTTTAACTGTGTGAAACTATGGGTAACTCTTAATCCTTTAAAACGAATAAATCGCACTTGCTCTTATTGGTTGAGTAGATTCCGCCCTTTTTGATTGACAAGCAGGTGGTTATTTTGAAAGGTAACCGGGAATAATAACCTCTCTTAACAGCTATAAATACTTTTGAAGCTTAGAAGATCTCATTAAAAGATGTTTATTCTCTCATGCGAAAGAAGAATAACCCGGGATCAGACCAAGAAATGAAAGATGGTTTTAAACGCTGAGCATCTAAAATAAATTGCACTGCGTAAAGGAAATCTGGATGAACCCAATGTACGGCAGAAAATGAACTACTAACAACAATTCAATAAAAGTAAATTAACACGTAATCAAAATCATGTCGTTATATGCAAACTAATCCGTAAATGGCACAGAATTTGCCGAAAGAAGTTTGCTGAGCATTAAATAATCTTTTCACAAACTGTGGTCAGTCTAAAGACGTTGCGAGTTTGGCTCTAAGGAAAAGTTAAGTTGTTGCCGATGGTCTAACGTTTGCGTGTTGGTAGGTTTAAGGACGGGAGCGAAACGACAGCCATTTGGGGGGTAAAATAATTCCGAGTGTCGGCAGCGCGGCAGGCGTGTGTTAATCACAAAAACGAGGGATACTTTGACAGTTTTTATGACGTTCAAGCGGAGTTTCAAAGGCGGAAAAAGTGGCAAACATTGTGCCATTTAGTCCCAATTGCTCGATTTTAAATAAAGTATCAATCAGACAGTCAGTCAGTCAGTAAAAAGACTCAATAGTGGAATACTCTACAGTATCTGGACAATAAGAAAAAAATTAAGATCATTTCACGTCTTTATTTGTTCACTTTAATTAATGAACAAATTTTAATTTAGCGTTTTCTCGTTTGAATCGTAAGGAACAAGCTTACGCGCAATGGGGAATAATGTAAAGGAACATTTAAACGCAGCTTCACGTCTTTTTCATTTTAAACGACTTTCAATATTACTTGAATTAAAAGGTTGTTTCTATAGGAACAAAATACAGCAACAACAACAAGTTCAAAACCGCCCTGTAAACAGAAATCTTATGACTGCGACTCGTTTTGTTTAAATTTTGATTTTGTGAATTTTCAGTACATCAAGACTCTTGTTGATAATTCGATTTCTTCTTCTCTTTCTGCTCTTGATTATATACTTAAATTCGAAGCTGGTCAATGCTTCGCTCAGTAATACTAGAAGAAATGTCTAAACACTATTGGGCTAGAGAAAAGCAGATTTTTCCGGACAAATGTGCTCGAATCGAAATGTCGGTGAAATTTTATGTTTGATTACGCGTCTACGATGTCAAGGACAGCGTTCTTGCGCATGTCATGTAGTTAATTTTGCCATGAAGTCAGCGGTCAGTCTAAGGCGAGCAGAGCGTTTATAGTTGCGTCCGACTGATTGTGGTGTTGCAAACACAATTGAGCGTCCTAAGAGCGCATTTCGTTCCTCTTTACTCGTCAGTAAAACGTCAGTTACACGCCAGACGAGCTCAACACTGATCGACATGACAAGAGAAACGAGAAGAAAAACCTTTTATACCTGACCTTTTCCTTGGCTACGTTTCTTAATTGTTAAATTCCGTTAAAGGTTTTTCTGGTTGGTGTGATAATTGCATGGATATGGAACTTAGGACAGAGGCGAACAATCTTCCAAATGTTCCAGATTCTTTCAAATCGAAGGTGTAAATGGTAGAGTTTTACTAATAGCTGAGGGTTAAAAAGGTTTTTTTTTTTCATATTCGTTTCTTTTTCTATGAAATTTCACTCGTTATAAGCTCCTGCTCACCGACTCGCGCGACTTTTTCATTGAATCAGAAGTTTTATCCAAAACCACACGTGACTCGCTCGCACGCGTTTTCCCGCGCTTCGCGTCAGCTACCTGTTTTACTTTGGATTTTGATTGGTTCATTCGATTGTCTGTGTCCTTCGTGATTGGCTAAAATGATAACTTTGGTTTTGGTTTTACGATACTCAATTCAAACTGCTCTAAAAAGACTCACATATACCAACAAAAGTGCCGAGAGGTTCAAGCAAGGAACAGATGAAAAGTGAGCGGCTCTACTCAGTTGAGAACAAAAAACATGTATCAATCGGCCATCTGCAAGTGGAAATTAAGGGTCATTCTGTTTCCTTTTAGAACCAACGAATTTTGACTATTTAAGAAGCTGATCAATCGGACTAAGAACAATACAAGCACAGTAAAATTTTCTTTTATTTTAAACAGAAAAAAGTGTGACTGCATATAAAATTCATCAACTTGAATAGAATGCAAAAATAATCGTTTGAGTAATAACTGTTCAAGTAGTTAAATGTGGTGATTTGCAAGTTTTTAGTACGACTCAGTGTTACCCCGGTTTCAATCATATCAAGATTTTGAAGGATTCTCGATTTTTTTTTTTTTTAGAACTGTACTTAACATAGGCGCCGTAATCTCGTGATGTTTTTCCCACAAGTTTTACTTGTTTTTATTTACTTATTTACTTATTTACTTATTTTAAACTGTTATGATTTTGTTTTGGTTA